GCTCCTTCTTGAGAGACACCTTGTCGGCTGTGGTCCAGGTGCTGGTCTTGATCTGGTGCAGCGACTCCGAGCCGGAGCAGTGGGGGAAGTCCTCCTTGTGCAGCTGCTTGAGGTCCCTGCCGCTCAGCTCCGGGGGTGCCCGGCACACGACGGAGGAGACGGAGCCCCGGAAACGCTGCAGCCAGTCCCAGAGCGAGCGTGCCGGGCAGCCGCACTCCCAGGGGTTGTCGTTGAGCCGCAGGTACTCCAGCGAGGGCAGCAGCGCCAGGCACTCGCCCGACAGCTCGGCCAGGGAGTTGTTGAACAGGTAGAGGGTGGTGAGCCGCTTCAGGTCGTGGAAGGCCCAGTGGTGCACCCAGTGCAGCCGGTTCTGGTGCAGCAGCAGGCGGTCCAGGGTGCCCAGGCCCCGGAAGGTGTTCTGGTGCAGGCTGCGCAGCTGGTTCCCGTGCAGGAACAGGTGGCTGAGGTTCACCAGGTCCACAAACAGGTCATCCTGCAGGATCTCGATGCGGTTGTCCTGAAAGGGAGATAAATCCGTCAGTTACACTCTGGCAGCCCCCTTGTGAGCCAGCTCTGGCCTGCCTGCTTCTTATTCTGGCCAAATTTCCCCCTGGCCTTTACCAATCATGGCCTCCTAATAATCCCCATCTCTGAACTGGCTTCATTACTCTGCTCTCCTCCCCACTGAGAGCTGGTGTGTGGGGAGAGGACTGGTGCATCATCCAGGTGGGGCTGCACACTGGTGGTGGTGGAGGGGATCCCCATTATCTGTAAAGTGCTTTGAGTGGAGTGTCCAGAAAAGTGCTATTGTAAGTGTAAGCTAGTGTAAGCAATTATTGTTATTATTATTATTATTCTGTGTGTCGCTGCACATGTACAGTCCGGTTCCGTGGGTCTGTCTTCGTACTGCATGCACAAACTTTGTTCAAGCCTGTCTGTGGATGGTAATTTTACTTGAGCTTCGGTCAAAATTGAAAACCCTGGGGGTGATATTTAATTCAGACTTGACATTCGACCCACATGTGCAACATTTCGTCGAAACGTCATTCTTTCACCTCAGCAATATCGCCAGACTATGTCCTGTGTTATTGCTGACTGTGGCTGAAAGCTGATCGACACATTTGTCTTCTCCCGAATCGTCTACTGTAATACCCTGCTCACTGGGGTTTCTAAATCCGCATTGAGTTAACTCCAGGATGTCCACAATTCGGCAGCCAGAATCCTGACCAGGTCTAATGCAAGTGATCACATGACTCCTGTGCTGGAGTCCTTGCACTGGCTTCCTGTCTCACCTATAAGGCACCCTGCAGCTCCCAGCTGGCAGCCCAGCAGGTGTGAGTCTGGTCAGTACCTGGATGGGAGACCTCCTGGGAAAAACTAAGGTTGCTGCTGGAAGTGGTGTTAGTGGGGCCAGCAGGGGGCGCTCACCCTGCGGTCTGTGTGGGTCCTGATGTCCCAGTATAGTGACGGGGACACTATACTGTAAACAGGCGCCGTCCTTCAAATGAGACGTAAAACCGAGGTCCTGACTCTCTGTGGTCATTAAAAATGCTGGGGTGTCTCTTGAAAAGAGTATATTACGCATTCCAGACGCACTCACACTCACAAACGCCTTCACATAACCACGCGCACCCTCTCAAACAAACCGTCCTATCACCTTTCACTCCCGTCACTACTTAAACCCTCCTCTTTTTTCATACCTTCATCCCTTTCCTTCTAAACTGATCTATTCTCGCTCCCTGGCTTTCACTACTCCCTGGTAAGGCTTCTGCCCTTGCGTTTTGGATCGGTTTCCTCGGTTGTGTTGTCTCAACTCGGTTTTGACTGTCACCTGCTCATTGGATTTTGGATTCTAGGACTTGTGTCTTTTTCATATTTTTACTTTTACTCTATGGACTTCCTGCTGCTATTCAGGGTGTTTACCCACGAGCCCTGCACAGGCTCTATACCTTCAGCATTTATTTTTGGTAACAGAGTAGGGGTGTTACCCCAATGTCCTGGCCAGATTTCCCCCTGGCCTTTACCAATCATGGCCTCCTAATAACCCCCATCTCTGAACTGGCTTCATCACTCTGCTCTCCTCCCCACTGAGAGCTGGTGTGAGGGGAGAGTACTGGTGCATCATCCAGGTGGGGCTGCACACTGGTGGTGGTGGAGGGGATCCCCATTACCTGTAAAGCGCTTTGAGTGGAATGTCCAGAAAAGTGCTATTTAAGTGATTGCCTTTTCAGGCGATCAAGGCCCATGGGGAATGGGGGGCAAGGGCCACCATTTTTCTTGACCACCCGACACTGGAGGTGGAGGTGATGTGGTCAGCATCAGACTCCGGCCGGCCTGTCACCCCCAGAAGGATTAACCTCCAGAAGTCACTTGGAAAGCTGAGTGGACCTGGGAGTCATCTGGAAGGAATTAGAGCAAGCTGCATCGCTGGCCTCTCCCTGGGATCGAACCCGGGACCTTCCGCCCTTGCCGTCTCGGCTACCATGGCTCCGCTATGTAAGCGTAAGGAATTCTTATTGTGGGAGGGAGGGGATGGCAGTGCGGGAAGGGGGCCCCCTGCTGGACGTTACCTGTAAGTAGAGGTACTGCAGGTTGCTGAGCCCCTGGAAGATGCCGCTGGGCAGGCTGCTCAGGCCGCAGCGGTACAGGTGCAGGGCGTGCAGGCGGGACAGCCCGTGGAAGGTGTCCGCCGCCAGCGCGCGCAGGAAGCGGTTGTCGCCCAGGTCGAGCTCCTCCAGCTGGGTGAAGCCGTGGAAGGTGCTGGGCTCAATGTAGGTGATGTTGTTGGAGTACATCCAGAGCGTGACAGTGTGCGGGCTGAAGTGGCCGCGCAGCAGCCGGTGGATGCGGTTGTTCTGCAGGAAGATGCGCTCGCTGTGCGGCGGGATGCCCTCGGGCACCGCCAGGAAGTTGTGGGCCTGGCAGCTGACGGTGGTGGGGGAGGTGTAGCAGACGCAGTGGCGCGGGCACGACCAGGACAGCTCCAGACCGCACAGGACCAGCAGGAACTCCAGCCCACAGCCTGGTGGGGAGAGAGAGAGGCACTTAAAGACGGGCTGTCGTGAGCCAGCAGCCATGGCGTCGAAGCAGATGTCCTGGGATATTTCCCAGGAATGATCGGCCTAGATTCTTGGATCTGTAAGGTACCAGCACCCACACGAGCAGGATGGGCCTAATGGCGCCTGCTCACGCACTCGTACCTGTCTTAGGCTCGTTATGAGAGAAAAATGAACTGCAACCCCATGCGCTCGGACAGCCCTGGCAACAGATTTTGTTACTAGGCAGAACTTTTGCTCACGGTGCACGTTGTGTGCCAGTAATGAGAATGTACCTGGAGAGTTTTCCTGCAGTCGCCGGGGGCCCTGATGGGACACTGCTGTCCGCCCTGTGCCTGTCTACTCTGCGAGAGAGGTTTAGCTGTGCTGTACCCCCAGCCTGTCTCCCATCAGCCCAGCTCACAACTGCACAACTTCAGCCCAGGCAGACAGACAGACAGACGTGAGTAACTTGCAGCCGCAGTGCTGGATGAGACACAAACCTGTTCTTACGGACGCGTTTTGGATACTTTCTTTCAATCCACTGTAGCGACTCACTTTAAAACCGCCACAGCCGAGTTTACGGATTTCAGCAAAGGTCTTTTAATGAACCCATAAACCAGTAATCCCCGCTTAGATTCAGCTCAGGAGCCCCAGCAGGCAGGCTGTCCTTCCTCCTCACAGTTTTTCTCCATTACGTACCAACGCAGGAGCAGTTAGAGCAGCAGGGAGTCAAACAGATGCAAGACACGAGCTGAAAAAGAAGCAAACTGGGGAACCTGCCTGCATATACCTTGACCCAGCGAGGATGTGAAGAGAGTCTTTCCACAGCACTTAATTAAGGGCTCAGGCAGCGTGTGTTGGCACATCCAGCCTGGCGAGGGCAGGGGTGCCTCCTGCTTCCTCCTATTATCGGCGAGCTGCAGTCCTGGTGTGTCGCCACTATGCAAATGGCCCTCTGCAGCCACTCAACCCCTCCTTAACGAGCCCACACTCACCGGCTCTCGCATATTAATTGTGCACGGATGACACGCCCTTTCTGAAATGGTTAGATGAGGGCTCAGGAAAACCAAGGGGCAGTTTGTAACCCATATCAAGCAGCCTGCCAGCTCAGGACAAAACACTGCTACTGTTAGTGCACACTTACTCAGCTACTGCACACTTACTGTACTAATGCTGCACTGTGACTTCCTTCCCAGTTGCCCAGCATCTAGAATCTTGGCTCTGCCCATTGCGCTACAGTGCACGCTTCATGGGACTGATTGCAGCGTTCCTGCTGTAGGAGTGCGTGCAGACCTGACAAATTGGGCTCAGTGCATTGCATGTCTCTGCTTTTCTTTGGACAGCCGTGTCAGAATGTAGCCCAAGCATGTGTCTGCAAGCCGTGTGTCTGCAAATGCCTGGTGTCAAAACCAAATGAGTATATCAATGGGTGTTTTTTTTTCCTTTGTGCACCTGCCTACTAATACATTGTCACGGTCCTGCTTTTACATCAGCAGGCACAGGGCATGTGGCCCAATCCCGCTATCTGCTCTGCGTGAGCTCTCCTGTCTGTGACGATACCGCTCCAGCGCTGGCCCAGAGCGTCTGTGTTCCCTCGGCCTCGCACAGCAGTCGGGCTCTCTGCTCTGGGAGGCTGCTGGAACCTCTTTGTCCATTAGCTGTGGGTGCCACGCACCTTCGTTTTAAGTCCTGTGGCAACAGGCAGCCATTCAGCTCCTGCCCTGTCAGGCGGGCTCAGAGAGAAGTAGAAATTTCTCGTCATGATGGGAATATATCTGGAGGAAAATTGATTTCTGGTTTAAGGCATGGCTCCCTGTTCTGTCCGACTCAATGCTGCTCCACAGCTGTTCTCTCCTCGTTTCAAACTCTCAGCGTTGGTCTGTCTCCTCCATGCTGCCAAATGAATTAAGCACAGGGGAGCTGAACGATCTGCTTCCTTTCCTTGGAGACAAATTAATTTTTTCGCAGATCCAGGGCTTGGCTTTGACATTCAGCACTCGTTGACCTTTTGCGATAATTTGCTGCGTGCCCACCAAAACCTTCCTTCTCCCCCCCCCACTTCCTCCTCCTCCTACTCCCCCGATCGGGTGTTTAATCCTGTTCGCAGGTTCGACAGCTGGGAACCACGTCTGGTTCCCCTCTGAAGCTTCAATCCCTGGCACCTGCCTCTATTTCAAAGCAAATGTCAGGAGAAAGGCAGGGCCCTGCCTACTGGAAATGACACGTGGGCAGCACTGCCCAAGAAAAACAACGTTAACCGCGCCCGGATCTCATAGCTGGGCCCTGTGGCCTCCGCGCAGGGCCTGACATTGACGCTCATGCAGGAAGCCGATGTCTGGAAAGACTGAGACGTTGGACTGCAGGGCTGCAGATTAGAAATGAGGATGGAACGAAAGAGCATGGCGCTGAGCTCTGCTGCATTGTATTGAGCGTGGCACCTGCTCCTTGAATAGAGGAGCGTTAGGCTGTTGTAGTGCTCATGGGAAATCAGGATCTGGGATATTGGGCAGCTCAGACAGACGATGCTGCTGCCATGCCAGGCGCATGTGTGGAGGGACCTGTTTTTGTGCCGCTGTATCAAGGGGGCTCTAACAAGGCAGGCTGGTCTGCAAAACCACATATGGAGTCACAAAAGAAGTGGCATGGTCTGGCATCGTCACCTCCCACCAGTTGGCAATCTTTTTGCTGATCGAACCGTCATTTTTGATGAGCCGTTTTTGAAATTCCATTTTCTTTGCCCGAACAATATAACATTGCCCTCGGCCTCTGTGAGCAGAGACGTGCACAGCGCAGCGATGGGTTAAGTGGGTTTTAATTGCTGTGCGGTATCAGTGTGCATCAGGAAGCTGTTTTATCACCTCCATCTCGTTTCCCAGCTCCTCGTGTGCCCTGCGATGCCTCGCCACCCGTTTATTCCGAACCCTGCTCCAGCAGCTGCTAATTCGGCTGGATTTTTAATTATTTTAATGCGATTGTTATCTGCACATTGTTGCTACATGCATGTCAATTAATTAAATATAAAACTCTTAACTGATGGACTCAAGCAGAGAGCTAATGCTCCACAAATAGAGGGGCTAATTTAATACAGCCTTAGCAGGACTCTCTCCTAATCGATTAGCTCCGTCTCCGCCAGCTCCAAGAGCCGCCTTTGTTTTTCATCCCAGAACATGCAACTTATGGCTTTCTCATTTTGTTTTTTGTTTTTTTTTTTGTTATTTTGCTCCCTGCTACTTGCTCCATCTCATCCCAGCCGATGTCTCCCCACGTCTTTCCAGTTTCGGCGCTAGCCCCGGAATTGGATTGATCCCTGCGGGCTTCGCCTTTGAAAACAGCGAGCAGGTATCTCTCCTCCCATCTCCCCCATCTGCGGCTCCGGCCCCCTCTTGGTTAACACGCGCCTCTTTTCATCCTGCCGGCGGGAGAGATCGGCATGCAGATCGCGTTGACGAGATTAAGCCACTGCGCGGGAATTCGAGGCTGCGGCACGTTTCGGCGGTAACGTGGTTTGTGCCGCTGTTACATGAACGTGAATGTGTGAAGTTGAGGTTTTTTTTCCTGCTGGAAAGAGAAGAACAGAAACACGACGTTTCGGCTGTGGAGCCTTCTTCAGGTGTGAGAGAGAGAAGAAAATCGCCCGTGTATGTGGTGATGTACAGGGGCACAGCTATACACTTGTGGGGGCAGTGCGGCGGCTCTGTGGCTCAGGATCTGCGCCTGTGGCTGGAAGGTTGCCGGTTCAAATCCCGCAGCCGGCAGAGGAATCCTACTCCGCTGGGCTCCTGAGCAAGGCCCTTCACCCCAACTGCTCCAGGGGCGATGTACAATGGCTGACCCTGCGCTCTGACCCCAAGCTTCTCTCCCTGTCTGTGTGTCTCATGGAGAGCAAGCTGGGGTCTGCGAAAAGATAATTCCCAATGCAAGAAATTGTAAAGGGTTAATAAAGTGATGTTATTATTATTATTATTATTATTATATCAAGCCTGCGGGGACATTTGCCAGCCAGTTGTGTCCAATGTGCCAGAATGAGACACAGGCACCAGTGCTGCTGGTTTATTCGCTTTCCCACTAGGGTCCTGATGTACAGGAGGCAGTTCTGCCCTTGAGTCCATAAGAGCTGTATCTGCAGTTGAGGAGGGCCTGGCGCCAAGGTCAGCGTGTGCCAAGCAGAGGATTGTTCAGTCAGGCCTGCCGGGCACTCAGGGTTTCAGCCTGCTTGGGTCTCACTGACTCTCCACGCATCAATCCAATTCTCTCTGCCTCGTTATGGTGCCAATTCTCAAATGAATGGCGGTTCGTTGTCGCAGGGCGCTCATCATCGGAGAGCCAGCGCCCGTGTCTCCAGCTGTCAAGGCGAGGCGCTGCCAGCATTTCGGGGCTGCCCGTCCCTGTCCTCGCTCTCTCTCTCCGGCGGTAATGCCGAGCGGCCGCCACCGGCCTCGTCTTTAAGTGAATAATTAAACAGCTTGGGGCTTTCGGCGCAGGGGCGACCCGAGCGACCAACCCCCCCCCCCCCCCCCCCCCCCCCCCCGGGGGGGGGGCCCCCCCCCGCGGCGGCCTTGCGGTTTCTTGGGGTCACGGAAAAACAGCCATCCCGCACGTGTGCCGGGCGCCGCGCTGAATACGGATGAGGCAGGTCAGGGCTGCGGTCAGCCCTCATGAATAACGCATCCCTCCCAGGCGGCTCCAGAGCCGCCCTCCTGGTGCCCAGGCCTCTCCTGCCCTGTCCGCGCGCGCCAGCGAGCGCTCTGGAGCCCCTTCTGGAATGTCTAATGACTTCATTTGGAGCAGCGAGGCGGCGGGGTTTCTATTTAGTCAGAAGCGAGGAGCGGTTCTGGGGGCCTGCCCCCTGACCTCGGCCGGGCACATCTGCAGCGGATGGAAATGAAGGCGGGCTAGAGGCAGGCGAGAGACTGGGGGGGCCAGATCGTGTCCTTGCTCTTACTGTCCATGGCCGGGGGGGGGGAGGCAAGTCTTTGTTGTGAGC